TGTTAAAGAGAACCAGTCCAAGGGCAGAGCTCTGGGGAACACCACTGGTCACAAAGCACAATAGTGATTCCCTACCATTGACCACTACTCTCTGGGTCCATCCTTGGAGCCAATTTCCCAGCCATCGAACTGTGGTGTAGTCGAGGCCACAGCTGGCCAATTTTTCCATGAGGAGATCATCGGACACCAGATCAAAGGCTTTTTTAAAGTCCGGATATATGATGTCACTCTCTTCTCCCTTGTCCAGGTGATATGTCACCTGGTCATAGAAGACAAGATTGGTCAGGCAAGACCCGCCCATGACAAACCTGTGCTGGCTGTCCCTCAGGATGTTACCATCAGCCAGTTTATCAAGAAGGGCCTCTTTGATAATTTTCTCCAGAATCTTACCGGGGATTGAGGTCAAGTTGATTGGACTGTAACTCCCAGGATCTACTTTCTGCCCTTTCTTGAAGATGGGTACCACATTGGCCTTTTTCCAGTCTTCAGGTACTTCACCTGAGCACCCTGAGCTTTCGAATATTTTCACGAATGGTTGGGCTATGACACCTGCCAGTTCCTTGAGTACAATAGGGTGTAATCTGTCAGGACCAGCTGACTTGAAGATGTCTAGCCTCTCAAGGTGTTTCTTTACCAGGTCTACACCAATGCTGGGTATAAATATGCCCTCACCCTGGCCGACCTGTGTCATGCTAGGCAGGGCGGTCCCTTTCGGCTGATGAAAGACTGATGTGAAGTACCCATTAAGCAGGTTGGCTTTTTCCTGGGTGTCAGTTATCAGTTGTCCCATTTCGTTCAGCAGGGGTCCAATGTTACCCTTGCTTTTTTCTGACTCGCTACATATTTGAAAAAGGACTTTTTATTATCTTTGATATGTAAAGCCAGATGGAGTTCGGTTGCAGCCTTGGCTTTCCTGGTCTGCTCCCTGCAGGCATGGACCAGTGCTGAGTACTCTTCCTTGGTGGTGATTCCAGCCTTCCATTCTTTATAAGTCTTTCTTTTTAGGTGCAGGACAGGGGTAGGCAATGTTTTTTGGCCAGAGTGCTGAAAAACACCACAATGCCTACCCTGGAAGGTGCTGGAGTGTTGGCATGGCAGAAAAAATGAGAGTACATGGCAGGATGCCCTTGCCCCCCTGCCCTGCTGCCTCTTGCCCCCCACCCAAAGCCCCTGCCCCCCAGCCCAGGCTCTGTGGCTGTCAACAGCTACCCTGGCTCTGGGTAGCTGCTGGAGCCTTGGCTGCTCCCAGCAGGGCTTGCAGCATCCCAGCTGTCTGTTGGGAGCAGCTTGGGCTCCCAGCTGGCAGCAGCTACCCAGAGCTGGGGCTGGCTGCAGCCAGGAGGCTGCAAACAGCTGTGTTAGGCTCCAGAGCCCCAGCATCAGCTTTGTATCGGTGTGTGCACCTGGGCATTGGAGCGGGTGGTGGGGGAGCGGCCTGAGGAAGTGCAACCCCACCTCTCCCCCACTCCTGGCACAGAGCTGGTGACTGAGCTTCAGAGCCCGGCACAGCTGTTTGTAGCCAGCCTTGGCTCTGGGCAGCTGCAGCAAGCAGCAGGCAGGCTGCAAAACAGCTGCATCAGGCTCCACAGCTCCGGCATCAGCTCCATGCTGGCGGTGACTCCGCACTCACCTTGGGCAGCTACCCAAGGCTTGGGCCGGGGCTGGCCATGGTGTGCTGAGCAAAATGGCCTTGTGTGGCAAGCTGGCGTAGGAGGTCCTTAAGTTCCCTGCTGAGAATACATATGCTTGACTTGAACTGGGGTGTGCCGATTCTCCTGCCAGGAGCAAAGCCAGAGAGTTCTGGCTAGAGGGTCTTGCCCTTCACTCAGGATCAGACTGATTACCGTATTTGAGATCAAGAAGGACTTTTACCCCATGGTCAGGTTGGCATATGGACTGTGAGGGTTTTTGCCTTCTTCTATAGTGGGGGCATGGCTTCTACCTGGGAATCTCTGGAGCGTATATTTATAACATTTCATGAATGCAGGACAGTTGCTCCCATAGTTTCCCTGCTTTACTTGTGGCAGTTTTGGGTGTTAGGTCTATGATATAAGGTTAAATGGGATGGTTTGCATAGGGATGAAGCTTCCTCAGGCAGGGGGTTGAACTGGGCGACCTCTGGGGGCTCTTTCCAACCCTAGTTCTCTATGCTTCTATGAGTCCCTGACAGTGGGAAGCAACAGAGTCTCTGGGTGGTCTTCCCTACCCAAAACTTACTATTAAGCCAGTGCAGGTAGTAGAGCCTCTGGATGGCAGTCCTGGGTGAGACTCCCTTCTCAAGCGAGTGGGGTAAGAGGGAGCTCTCCAGGTTGGTTTGCCACTGACTGTGACTGTGATCAGTTTTGAGCTATAGTTAAAGGTTAATAGTTAATGTTTTGCTTAGGGAGTACCACTGTTTCCCTTGTAATAAACTTGTTTTAATTTAATATTTGCTAGTGAGTGAGCAGGTTTCTTTAAATTACAACACCTAGTTCTAAGTTACTTTACCAAGTTTCTGGGTGGTAGCCGGAGGTAAATATGAAAAGATGGTGAAAAATCCCTAGAAGCATCTATACTCATGCTCCAGGGTGTAGTGCAGGGTGACACTTTAATTAGAATGGCTCTGACTCTAATTAAAGTGTCCACAGTGTCATGTGTATTCAGCATTCCATGCTTAATAATGGCGGTGAGGACACTGTAACTAAAACTTGTTCAATGAGCTTTAGTTAAAGTACCCCCAATTCTGTTTTGAAATGTGGGTACAGTGAATACGCATGATGTGGAAGCTGGTAGAGCACACTAATGAGCACACAGGTACTAAATACCATGCATCAGAGCAGAGGTCCATCATGTGTATAGGTGCCTGTAACAGGTTGCCCTTCCCAGCGCCCTCTTCCTAGTAATCTGCGCCTTGCGTGGGGCGCCCTTGGAGCCTTCTTTGGGGTTCTTATGTCCCACCCTATACTTGCTTGCCACGTCTTGATGGAAATTATTATGATAATGTTCTTGTGAGCGGGAGGCTGCCTATTGTATTGTGTATGTTGGGGCCTTTCCCCTATATGGGCCTGACCCCTGTTTTTCTCTAGCTAGGCCTCCCCATCTAAACCCACTAAACAGGGTTTGACTCCAAGGCTCTAGCCTTTTCTGGTGTCTTGAGGCTCGTGGCCCCCTTTTTCTGCTCCAGTCTAGAGCCTGCCCCCACCCCCGGGCCCAGAGGTCTGGGTGCCAGCCCCACAGCCAGGGGGCCGCAAGTTCAAAACTGGGGAATGACCCCGAACTCGCACCTCTTCAGTCCAAAACACAAAAAAACAAAACAAAACTGCACCTCAGGTGTGCCAGGCCTCCCTGGCTTTCTAAGATCGTGCCTTGAGGCACCAGGGTCTGTGCCCCCCAAAAGCCATGCCCTCACTGTCACCGGGGTCTCCACTCCATAGCGGGTCCCCAAAATGAGGCCTCCTCCTTCCCCTAATAGCCTCACCCAAGCCACTGGTCTTGTTCATTAATCAAAAAAGAAAAATTATAAACAGTCCCGTCCATGGGTAGTAAGAGGTGTCTGGGAGAGTCCTTCAGTGCCACAGAGGCACCGGGTTGGGTGGCCTAAAAAGGATTTCCATCTGTAATCTCAGCCCAAAAGCCAGTTCTTTATTTGAGCCCATATATGTAGTAGAGTGAAATGGGGGGCTGTCAGTTGGCAGCCTGGCAGGGCCAAACTGCGCTTTTGGCTGGCACAGACTTTGGTCAGTGACACTGATGTCTAGGAGAGGCCCCTGCTGATACAAAAACATGTTGTGGAGTGGTCCAAGAAGGATTTCCAGGCATAATCCCAGTCCAAAAGCCAATTCCTTATCCGAGCGGTTACGCTTAGTAAAGTGGGCTTTCAGTTTGCATCCTGGCAGGGCCAAACTGTGCTTTGGGCCCAGCAGAAGAGTGCTCAGGGTTATTTGGGGTGGTAGTGGCATCAACAGGAAGTTTGGGTTGGCCCAAGAAGTATTTTGCCCCATAATCCCATCCCAACCTTATCTTCATTTAAACCTCTGTATTTGATATAGGATATTATTTTACATATTAATCAGTTACTGTGCAAGCTAGTGAAATTCTCTCTCTTTAGAATGTGTTATTCATTAATAACAAGCTTTTATTGGCTACAGATTATCTTTGAAATGGAACTGGGAGCCATGAATAAGGAACTGGCAATAAGGAACCAACTTCAGCCAGTGAAGAAGAGAAAACACTGCTAGTTTATTGTGCCCAGGCCTTGGTGATCCTGGGGCCAGGTTCTCCTCTCCTGGCACCTGGGGACTAAGGACAGTATTGCCAGGTCTTCAATATGAAATTATTGAAAAAAATATTTCAATCATTATTATAAAAAATATTACAAAGAACTATGTAATAAGTCTTCTTCTTTCTTACTTTATATTGGTCAGTGTAAGACACCACCCACTGAGTGAGAGCTGGGTGAAAGTTGAGGCATTTCTTTATTTGGAGGCAAGCAGTCATAAGAAGAAGTGCTGACAGCAAACCGGGAAGTTGGAAGGGAAAATACCATGATCACCAGACAGGTTCTCCTAGGGACAGGGGATAACCGCTATTCTGGCATGGGATAGTACCCAGGTGGAGGTAATATACCCTCCCACTTTCATTTCCTGTGGGAAGAACTGGCTTTATGCCAACTTCATGGAACTGGGAGACTCCTCCCGAGCTTCCCCTGTGGCCTTGTGGCCGAGGGGGCACCGTGTCAGGGCTTGTGCCTGCCAAATCATTTGGAAACATATGAAGCCCCAGGTGGGGGTGGAGGATGTTTGCCGGCAGTGGCACCATTTATGGTACTAGGAATTGATCTGGCTGGGAAGAACAATTTTCCTTAAAAAATAAAATAACAACCCCCCCGGAAGTTGGTTAGGGCTCTCTAAGAGTGACCTGGCTTTTGCATACGCTGCATCAACTAGCTGCCTCGAAAAAAACGACGGTGCATTTTGAACGCTCTTTAGAGGGGCGGACCCCCCCGGCCCGCCGCTACCTACCCGCTCCCTGTCGTCCTCCGTGGCGAGGCCCGCCCGCAGGCAGCTGTCGGCCACCGGCCGGGTCCGCAGCCGGTCCACGAGGGAGCCGTACAGCACCTGCAGCAGCGCCACGCACAGGTCGTGCTCGGCCTCCTCGGCCGGGGACGGCAGGTCGCGCAGGCTGGGGTTGGCGTAGCTGGCGGCCAGGGCGCAGCCGCCGAGCTGCAGCGCGGT